CTTCCCCGGTCAAGCCGCGGCCACTGCACCGTGCTGACCAGCTCCCCGTGGCCCTCGCATCCCCGGGACACACACACACCACACACAGCCCCTCGCTGCCCCCCCCCTCCCCCCCCGCTCCATTTTTTGGGGGGAGAAAAGGGGTTTTCTGGAGGGAAAAAGTGTTGGGAGGGAGGGGAGGGGGCATCTCCGGGCTTTGCCGACAGCACCTCCCAAGCTGGAGACTGCAGGTAATGAGGAGGTTCGGTCTTTGGATGTGGAGAGGGAGCAGAAAATGGCTCCTTTTTCTTTCTTTTTTTTTTTTTTTTTTTTTTTTTTCCCTTCCTTCCCCCCTCCATCCTTCCCTTTCCCTCTCCTCCCATCCCCTCCGGCTTGCCTCCCCAGGCTGCCCGCACACACACCAGCCTTAAACTCGGTGCCCGGATGCTCTCCATCCCCGGGGAGGGGGGAAAGATAATTTAAAAAAAAAAACAAACCAAAACCCCAGCCCCGTTGTCCTTCTGCAGGCGTCCGTCTGTCCCCCCTCGCTTCATTCGGGTGGGTGGGTTTCATTTTTGGATGGGCTGTCGGGGGGGGAGGGGGAGCAGAGGCGTTTGTGAGGGCATGCGGTATTGACCCCTTTATTTTTATTTTTTTTTAGCAGGATGGCAAAGTACCAGAGAATAAATGAAGCGGGCTGAGATGCTGGTGGGGGCTTCAAAAAAAAAAAGGGGGGGGGGGCAAAAATCGCAGGAGGAATCTGTGGTCTATGCTTGAAATCACCCTTTTATTCCTGGCATCAGTAAGTCGGCAACAACCTTCTGCAAATCCACCTTTTCCCAGCCTACCTCCTCCATCCTCTGCAGCTGTAACAGCTCTGCTGCTAGAAAAAAAAAATAAATCAACCCACGCATTGAGAATCCTAATCCGCTTGCTGCTCACAGAGGAGGGTGAGGAAGGGGTCGGGGGAGTGGTGGTAATTTGCTTTTAAATGATTTTTGCAAAGGAGAGCACCAAACCCAGTTCCTACAGCTGGGAAAACTCATTTTTCCTGCTCCAGTACGGGTTCCGAGCACCCGAGATTTGCGTAGAGAAATAACTGGGTGATTTATCCTCTTTGAGAAGGAGGAGCGATTGCTATGGGTTTTTTTGGGGAGGGGTTCTGGAAGATTTGGGACAGGAGTCTCCAGGAAGAGGAGGAGCACCCAGGGTTTGGTGCAGTAGGACTTAGCTGTTAGGTAAAATCTGGGTGAAGATGAATTTTAGGGTAAGGATCTCTCAGCAGAGCATTGTCTGCAGGTTACAGAAACATGTTTATTGTCAATGGGCTGGGGTTTACCTCTTTTTCTATTTTTTTTAAGGAATCATGCTCTCTGTATTTCTGTTTTCCCCTTCTGCTTCCTCCTCCTCCCCATTAACTTTTTGGAAAAAAAATTGTTTAGCCAGATTTGATGGAGGCAGAGGGTATAAAGTTCCTGCAAGATTTGGGAAAATACGTAAAGGATGGAGTTTTTTATTAGCTGCCTGTCCCCATGCCTTACCCTCATTTTGTGATTCAGCTAAGCCTTTATATTAGATTATTAGAGAATAATAATCTATTAGATTATTAGAGAATCCACAGGTTAATAAAATAGAGGGTTTTGCATGAAGAGTCCAACTGATGGATACAAATCCATAGGATGATGGCTGGCAGTGGGTTGCACGCTGGGCTCTGCTTATGGGGGGTTACCTCCTCCTTGCAGGGGGGATGCTGGTCTCTGCTTACAGGAGGTTCCCTCCTTCTTTCAGGGGGTCTGGTGGCCCCAGCCATGGAGCCGTATGTGCTGCTCGACCCGCGACAGAGAGCACTGTATCGCGACGTGATGCAGGAGAGCTATGAGACGCTGATGGCGCTGGGTGAGGAGCCTACCCATACCGCAGCAGGAAATTTGGAGTGGATGGAGGATCTAGCTTGCTGGATCCTCACGTCATCATGGAAGGGGTGCTGGGGTTGGGGGGCTGCTGGGGAGGGCAGACCCTCCTGACCCATGTTGTTCACCCCCCCTGTCTTTTCCAGAATTCCCTGTTTCCAAGCCCGATCTGCTGTCCCGCCTAGACCATGGGAATGAACCTACAGCCCTGGATCTCCATGTGCCCAGGGACACCTTGGCCACAGGTGAGCCTCTGATTGCGCCTCAGCCACAGCAGGGAAAAAGCCTGGGTTCAGCTCCTGCAAGTGTCAAGGGCTTTCCTCACTTCCAACCTCTCCGCAAAATGGGCAAACCCCCACTGTAGCGGCTGCCACTGGTTTGGCCATGGCATGGAAGAAGGATGCTGGGGAGGAGAGACTGTAAGGCCAGAGGGTTATCCTGGCCAAAACGGAAATGCCAGACCCCCTTCCTAGAGAGCCACATTTCTGGAGGTACAGTGGAGGTGGTGGTGGATTAATTACCATGTCCATGTTGGTGGCAGAGAGGAGCGATGGGGATTAGAGATGTCTCTGCTAGAGATGCTTGCCTGGAAGAGTGTGTGAAATAAAAAAGGAGGAGGAATCCCTCCTTGCTTTCCTTTTTCTACCACCTTCCCATCTTCCCAGCCCTGGGAGAGACGATGTCTCCTGCCTGGGTTGTGTCTGTCTTTGTGCCCCACAGAGGATGGAGCAGGAGTGGAGCAGGAACCCCCTCGAGAAGAAGCTGTTGAGAAAGAGCCTGAAGTAGTGAAACCTGCAGGTGAGGAGCATCCTTCGAGCCCCGCCGAGGCTGGGGTGAAGGCAAGCAGGAGTGGGGGACTGGGGGAGACGGCCACGCGCCCAGGTGAGAGCCAACCCAGCAACACGTGTAGCGAGTGCGGGAAGAGCTTCAGCCACAAGTCAGCCCTGGTGAAGCACCAGAAGATCCACACTGGCGACCGCCCGCACGAATGTCCTGACTGCGGCAAGTGCTTCATCCAGCGCTCAGACCTCACCATCCACCAGCGGGTCCATACGGGCGAGCGGCCCTATGCCTGCCCTGACTGTGGGCGCCGCTTCAGTGTCAGCTCCTCCTTGCTCACCCACCAGCGTACCCACGCACCCGGCGGGGAGAAACCCAACCGTTGCCCCCAGTGCGGCCGCAGCTTTGCTGATCCAGGAGCCCTCGATCGGCATCAGAAGAGCCACCTGGGCGGGAAACCCTATGAGTGTGGCGTGTGTGGGAAAGCCTTCGCCTGGAGCTCCCACCTCGAGCGGCATCGGCGCATCCACACCGGTGAGAAGCCCTTCCAGTGTGCTGAATGCGGGCGAGCCTTTGCCTGGAGCTCCCACCTCGACCGCCACATGCGCACCCACGCTGCTGCCGCTGCCTCCGAGGATGAGGAGGACGGGGAGGCAGAGGAAGAGCCCCCACCACCCCCCCAGAAATGCGCCGACTGTGGCAAGCGCCTCAACCACCAGACGGACCCACAGCGCTTCAAGCACAAGGGCACTCAGACACTGCCAGCCGGTGCCGAACCCACTGGCAGCCCCCCGCGGCCCTTCCGCTGTGAGCAGTGCGGCAAATGCTTCGGCCAGAGCTCTAACCTCCTCAAGCACCAACGCGTCCACACCAGTGAGCGGCCATACCCCTGCCCGGATTGCAAACAGTGCTTCCGCTGGGGCTCAGCCCTGGCCAAGCACCAGCGCATCCATGCCCGGCAGCAGCAAGCCAGTGACGCCACCAAAGCCGTGCCGGCAGCCGCTGAGGAAGCCAGTGCTGGAGGAGGTGGCAAACCCTACCCGTGCGGGGCGTGTGGGAAGAGTTTCGGCTGGGTCTCGCACCTGGAGCGTCATCGCCGCATCCACACTGGAGAGAAGCCCTTCCGCTGCGGGGAGTGCGGGCGGGCGTTCGCCGTCAGCTCCCACCTGGAACGGCACCGCCGGGTGCATACCGGCGAGCGGCCCTACCGTTGTGGCGAGTGCGGGAAGAGCTTCGCCGTCAGCTCCACCTTGCTGGCTCATCGCCGCACCCATGCTGCCCAGCCAGGCCGGCCCCACGCCTGCCCTGAGTGTGGTAAGTGTTTTAGCACACCAGCCAGCTTGGAGCGGCACCGGCGGCTTCACCGGGGTGAGAAACCCTACCAGTGCGGTGTCTGCGGCAAAGGCTTTGCCTGGAGCTCCCACTACGACCGGCACCGGCTCACCCACACTGGCGAGAAACCCTTCTCCTGCGCCCACTGTGGCAAATGCTTCGGCCGCAGCTCCCACCGCAACCGGCACCAGCGTGCCCACACGCAGGGCGGCCCAGAGAAGCGGCACGTCTGTCCTGAATGCGGCAAAGCCTTCGGCCTCGGCACGGCCCTGGCGGCTCACCAGCGACTGCACGCCGCTGCTGCTGGCACCGGGGGCCGCAGCCCCCTCTCCTTGCTGCCGCCTGCCTGGTGGGAGGATGAGAGGCGAGGGGGGACACCCACCCCATCTGAGCTCTGGCCCGAAGAGTCCAGCTCTGTTTTCCAGCAGCACCCCGTGCCTTCCTCCTCCTCTTCCTCCTCCCCAGCCCCCAGGGGCTGGGCTGCCAAGGCTCTCCTGCCTCCCAGCATGGCATGGAGGCCTGGGGAGGGGGACACACTGCAAAGCGATGCCTCTGCCCCCCAGGAGCCCTGGGTTTCCCTGCCTCCGCCCAGCTCCTGAGATGGGGCCATGGGGACCGGTGGGGGGGGCTCAGAGCCACCCTGCACCTTTGGGGACACCCCAAGGCTGAGGTGGGAGGCTGGCCTGTCCCACTCCCTCCCCAACACAGGGTAGGAAAGGGCTGCTGCATCAGCTGGGGGGCCCCAGGATACACTGGGGTGGGGGTCAGGATGGGGAAGGGGGGGTGAAGTGGTGGGGAGGGGGCACAGGGAGGGTGAGTGGTCTGTGCCAGGGGTTTAGCAACCAGCATAGGTGCTTTGGGGGGAGACTGGGAAAGGAGGGACAAGGGAGGCTGGGGGTGGATTTAGGGGGGGCTGGGTGATAATTTAGGGTGGTAGGGAGACAACACTTCTCCCTATAACCCTCCTCATCCTCTGCCCCACTGTTGTGGTGAGGCAGAAAGAGGGGGGTGACACAGCTTGGGTGTATGGGAGGGGACCCATCGGTAAAAATCACCCAGGGAACCCCCTTCCACAGGGGGCTTTTGGGGGCAAACGGCTCAGAAAAGAGCCATGGGGACCTGCATTAGTCACCAGCTCTGCTGCATCCTTGCTGGGACCCCTCCCAAATGCTGCTTGGGTTGTGCTGAGGGCGGTTTAGGATGCATTGAGCTGGGAATTTGGCAAGCGTGGAGAGGCTGGGTTGCCTCAGCTTGAGTTAGTAGGTAATAAAGTAGAAGGTAGTTCAGCAAAAAAGAAAAACCCCTTCACGTGTCTCAGCGTGTTTTTGTCTTTGGAGAGGGAGAAGATGCTCGTGGTCTTTCCTACCAAGAAGCAGGGAAAAGCGACGGAGCCCGGGGTCAGTGCACAAGGAGAGCCAGACACAGGTGGCTGCCAGGTACCGGGCTCCCTTTTTATTCCTCGCCCCATGCCGGCACCTCCCACTGCCAAGCCCTCTGCACCCTCAGCATCTCGCCCTCTCCATCAGTGCAACGCAGCATCCCCTTCTCCTGCCTGCGGCAGCAAGGAGCAGATACAAATGACACCATATTTTGGCACAAGAACCAGCTCCAGGTTACCCCCATTGTTTCCCGGTGCAGAAGAGCACCATTTCCCTGGGGAAGAGGCTCCCTGTCACCCAAGATGTCCGTTTTCCAGGGTCTGTTTTGCAATAGGGCGCAGGCACCGTTCACCCATTGCTGCTGGGAGACATCAGGAAGGATAAATCCCACCCTGATACCTTGCTGGAGCAGCCACATCACCCACCCCAGTGCCACCCTCTGCCCCTTAAATGTCACTTGGTGTCCTTTGATTTGTCCCCAAGATGAGTTTTCCCTTGAGAATGATGCTTCCTCCCCATCCATCACACCAATGGGGGAGTCTCTGTCCTTCAGGGCTCCTCAACATTGCAGGCTCTGGGTGGCTTCACCAGCCCTGTGGCACCGTGGGTCTTCTCCGCCACCAGCCGTGTCCTAGAGAGGGGCAGCGGTTGGGGGGCAAGGGGGAAAGCAGCCTTGGGGAGGTGGCTACGGCGGTGTTTGGTGAGGTGGGAGCTCTGGCTGAAGGCTTCGCCACACTCAGGGCACTCGTAGGGCTTCTCACCGGTGTGGACGCGGCGGTGCCGCTCGAGGTGGGATGCCCAGGCAAAGCCCTTGCCACACTCGCTGCAAGTGTAGCTCTTCTGGGCGATGTGGCCCCGCTGGTGGGCAAGGAAGGGGGGAGCCTCACCGAAACGCTTGCCACAGTCGCCACATTTGTAGGGCCGGTCGGGGGAGTGGGTTTTGCGGTGCTGGAGCAGGTGAGCTTTTTGGGCGAAGCGTTCGCCACAGCTGCTGCAGGGAAAGGGGCGTTCACCTGTATGCACCCGCCGGTGCCGCTCCAGGTGGGACGCCCAGACAAAACCCTTCCCGCAATCGGCACAACGGTGGGTGCGCTCCCGCCGGTGACACCGCTGATGCCGTGCCAGCGCTGGCCCGGCTCGGAAAAGCTTGCCACAGTCACCGCAGCGGAGGGCTTTCTTGCCCAGGTGGGTGCGGCGGTGGCGGGCCAGGTCGGAGCTCTGGCAGAAGGTCTTGCCGCAAGCTGGGCAGCGGTGGGGCCGCTCACCGGTGTGGCTACGGCGGTGCTTGGCAAGGTGCGAGCCTTGGCTGAAGGCTTCGCCACACTCGGCACAGCGGTAGGGCTTTTCGCCAGTGTGCACCCGTTGGTGCCGGGCAAGGTGGGATGCCCAGACGAAGCCCTTGCCGCAGTCACCGCATTTGTGAGCTTTCTCGGCGGCGTGGCCTCGGCTGTGAGCCGCCAGCTCGGCGGCACCGGCAAAGCGCTTGCCACAGTCACTGCACTTGTGTGGTCGGTCACTGGCGTGGGTACGGCGATGCTGGAGGAGGTGGGAGCTCTGGCTGTAAGTCTCGCCGCACTCGGGGCACCCAAAAGGCCGCTCACCAGTGTGCACCCGCCGGTGACGCTCCAAGTGCGAAGCCCATGGGAAGCTCTTGCCACAGTCGGTGCAGCTGAACGGCCGGTCCCTTACTGGTCCCTTGCTGGCTGCCCCATGTAAGGGTTTGGCACATTCCAATTTGGGGACCACTGTGGCTTTGGACATCTTGGCTCCGCCATGCGGCATGGCTTTATCCGGGCGCTTTGTTTTCCGCCTGTTTGAGCCGAGGGTCTTCTCCCTCTCTGGGCTGCAGGACGAGTGCTCTTCAAGCTCCTTGCAGCTCTCCTCTGCTGCTCCTTCCTCCGCTGCTTTTTCACTCACCAGCCCCTGTGCTGCTGGGGACATGGGAAAAGGAGAAAAAGGGCAGAGCATGGCCTTGACCGGAGCAGGGGGTAGCATTTAAATTGACAGAGCAGGAACAGGATTCCCTAAAAAAATTGGTCTCCCAGAAAGGAGGAAGAGGGATGTGATGGGAGATCTGATTCCAGTTTGAACTGAGAACATAGAGATGCTAAGCAAACCCCATTGTCTGTATTTCCAATAATAATAAAAAAAAAAAAGCAGAGAGATCAATAACAGTTTCCTGCAGAAAAAAAATGAAGAAGAGGGCTGGGGTTTGGGGAAATCCCCCTCAAAACCTGCCTGGATTCCTCCTCCCCCCTTCTGATCCCTTTGCTTCCCTGCAAGAGACAGGAAAAAAAAGAGCAAGGAGAAACTGGGGGAATGTTCAAGGAAAAGGAAAGAGGATTTTGTGTGTTTGTTTACCAAGAGACATCAGTGTTTCGTAGCTCTCCTGCATCACATCCCGGTACAGGGCTTTCTGCCGCGGGTCCAGCATCACCCACGGCTCCATTACAGGGAGAGTCACTGGTGGTCAGGAGAATGAGGGTTTCTCCCTCTGTTCCTCACTCAGGGCTCCTGAAAATCCCCTGTGGGGAAGAAGAATCCCTTGAAATGGGGAAAATCCCCTGGGTAGTGCTTCTTGCTCAGTTTTTGATGCTTTTTCTGGGGATGCCGTGAAAAATACTGGGTTTTTTTCTCCCCCGGCTGCAACACACAGATGGTCCCTCCATTCAGGACTAAGCCTGAGACTGCATGGAGCAGCTTGGCAATGGGGGGGCAGGAGGTTCCCTGTTTTCTGCTCATCTTTCTGGCAGACTGCATCTCACAGCAATCTCTGCCTTCCTCCCTCCAGCATCCCAGTTCCCCTGGTCCTCTTCTTACTGGGAATCAGCCCTCCCAGGGTGATGGGTTATTGGGGGATGTGTCCCAGGAACTGGGCAGCATGCTCCATCCCTGGGGAGCCCTGGATGCACTGTCCTCTTCCCAAAGGAGCTGCCACTCCTGGGAACAACCCCAAGGGCTGGATCCTGCAAGCTCCAGCCCTGACGCAGCTCAGGACCTGCTGCAGAGCAGGAGCACGTCCCTGCTCAGGGTTTTTCCCCGTTACCTGGAGTCCCTGGCTCAGGACTTGCTGTCGACTGAGCCTGGAGCTGCCTCCGTAGGCCTTTCCCTGGGTGAAACGTCCTCCCTTCCCAGGCTGAGGCTGCAAGGGGGGGCAGGATCCGCAGACCCCCCCCTTTGCACCCCAAGGACCGCCAAGCCTCCCGACAGCAGGGCACAATGGAGGCGATGCCGGGCATGGCTTTGCTCCGGAAGCCCAAGCCGGTATCCGGGAGAGAGGAGACGCCAAGAACAGGATCCTTAGCGGCAGCGTTTACCCAGAGCCCTCTAGAGGTAACCCAATCCTGGCTTCCCCCCCATCCCGACCCTCCCCGCAGGCTACCCAGCACCCGTGGGGGGCAGAGGGGACCCCACTAAAGTCCTGCCCCATCACCCGCATTGCCCTTATGCTCTTCCCTTTTACCCAGCAGTTTTGGGAGAGCCCTAACCTTGCTAGGAACTCTGCCGGGGGGATTGTGACAGCAGCAGCAGGGATATTTTGAGTATTGCAGCCATGGGGAAGCATGGGAAGGTGATGGGGGTCTCTCTGGGGCAACAGGGCTTCCCCCAGGTGGGAGAGGGGGACACTAGGCTGGTTGCCCGATCAGCATCAGTGATGGGAGCTGTGCAAGCAAGAAATTAGGTTTTCCACCTGGAAAAGTGGTCCAAACCATGTTTTAGTCACGTGGTTGGTGAAAACGGGTTGTTTTTCCCCAAAAGCTCCAGGCTCAGGAATCATGCGCTTGCGGGTGGGAAGAAGGGGGAATTTCCACTTACCAAGTTATCCCTTCTTGTTGCTGGAGGAGGAGATCACGAAAGCCAAGGAAAACAGAGCCCTGCGAACAAGAAGATAAAGAATTGCAGCAGGGGAATGAGAGGAGCCTGGATTTCTGCCTCCAGGAAAGCCCAGGAGATTTGAAGCCACACAGACGCTCTTCTCTACGGTGGGTGCAGGTGTTTGGGTGGTGGTTTAATCCCTCCCTGGCTGGGAAAAGCCAGGAGTGGAGGGGAAGCAATAATTTTCTTTCAGCTTGCTTTGGAAAGAGCGCAAGGATGGGGAATTTTCCCTAAATCCTGCCTTCCCTAATGCACGGGTGTTTAACCCCTGCCTCCCCAGCGAAGGAGGGAGCGGAGCTGATTTCTACAGCTTGCCTGATCCTCTCTCCCTTCTCCTTCACTCCTCGGCTGGTGGCAGTCGACGAATGTCCCCAAGGGATGCTGTGGGACCAAGTCCTGGTGCTGGGGGACACCAAGCAACCCGGGTGGCTCTGGGAGTATTGCAGCTCAGCTGGGTATGGGAGAACAGAGGAAGGGGCTGGATCCGCTGGATGCTGAAGGCAGAGAGGGGAGAAAGGGACCCTCCAGGGATCCTGGTTGTGCTCCAGGCAGGGGCTGTGGCAGTGGGTGGTGGTGTGGGGCAGGCAGAGCCCTGCCTGCATCCCCCAGCCCATGGAGGCACGCCACAGCCCTCTGCTCTGGGGGTTTGTCCGCACCAAATCCTGAGCCAGAGGCTCCAGGTGATGGGCTCGGGAGGGAAGGAGGGAGGCAGAGACCCACCCGGGATGCCCTGTCTCCCAGTCCAGCCCCAGTCCCTTTACTGGGACCAGTACAAGGAGCAGCGAGATGGAGGACCAGTCCCTGCCCTTGGGGCTGCGCCACGAGAGGGCGTGGGGAGACCAGAGCTGCTCCCAGGAGCTGGCTCTTCCCTGGTGATCAGAGCAGGAGATTGCTCCCAAGAAGGTGGAAAAAGCTGAGCTTTGTTGGGCAAGGGCTGGCTGAGCCCTCTTGTGTCCCGAGGGGAAAAAGCCCCGCAGGAATGAAGGAGGCTGCTTCTTCTCTTGCACAGATGCCTATGCAAAGGGCACTGCCTCGGTTTTTCCAGGGTTTATCCCAGCTTTTCCCCCCCAGGGAACAGCTCAGTACCAACTTCTCCCCCCATAGGCTCCAGCAGAGCGTCCCTGTCACTGCCAAGGGGGACGGAGAGGGACATGGCCACAGCAGAGCCGGCACAGGTGAGGGAAAATCTCTCCTTTGGGGTGGGCAATTGCATTCCAGCTGACCTGAAACATCAGTGCCAGGTACCTTCTGCCTGGTCCAGTGGGGCTGTACAAGCTGGTCTGTGACCATAGCTGTGGGTTATCGCCTTCCTGCAACTCCTTTTGGACCAACAGGTCCCCATATACCGGCGCAGATGGTCAGGGTGCAGGAGAGGTGGTGAGGAGCAGAAGGTGGAGCCTGTGGTGGGCATGCTACAAGGCTGAGCCTTGGATGCAAGATGCCCACCTCAGAAACACAAGGAGGGTGGAAAGTCACAGCAGGACATGGGGTTTTGCGTCTCTACGTGACAGGAAAAGGCACAGAGAATAGGGTGGAGAAGTTGAGCCCAGCCTGGTTGAGCTCCTTCAGCTCCACCATCCCCATCAGGTATTGCTGGGTGTTTAACAACCCTCAGTGTTTTCCAGTTCCTATTTTTCCTTCCCCATAAGCTTAGCCAGCTGCTTTCTGAACCCGTGTGGCCCTTCAGCATCCGTGATGTCCTGCAGCAAGGCTTTCCACAGCTTAACTACACCCTATGCAGAACAATACCTTGATATCTCTGATCCTTGCCAGCATCCTTTCTGGCTCTCCTGCAGCTCTGCTGAACGTAGCCTTGGCTCCTCTCCCAGCTGGCTTGAGCTGACCCATGGCAGCAGGTGCTGAGCTGGGAAATCCTTGTTGTTCCAGTGTCCAGTGACCTTCAAGGAGGTGGCTCGGTACTTCACTGATCCTGGCCAGCGGGCCCAGTACCAGGAAGCCATGCAGGAGAGTGCTGGAAATGACTCCTCTTTGGGTAAGGACGCACCTTCCCTCCTTCCTGGGCTACGTCTTGGGATTGGGTGGACACAGGGGATGCTTCTCTAGACTTTGGAGGTGAAGGTGTCTTTCCCCATTGCTTCTGGCAATTGTGTTTCCCCCTTGGGACACATATTGGGGACCCATAGCACCCTCCATCCCCACCTTCTTCAGAGGAGCACATGCTCTACCATGTCAGACCAGTGGTCCATCTGGCCCCATGTTCTCTCCGGCCATGGTGGAAGGAGATGCTATGTCAGAGAACAAGGAGAGACACCTTCCTCAGCTGTGTCCAGCCCTTGCATCATCCTTTCTCCAGCAGAGCCCCCAAATCTTCTTGTAGTAGCTCCTCAAATGCACTCAGACCCCTGCTCTGTCTCAGGAACCAGCTCTGCTGACCCCCAACCTGACAGGATCTCCTCTGGGCTGGAGTTGGAGGAGAAGATGGGGACCCCAGCTCCCCAGTACTCAGATGCAAGGCCCTTCTCTAACAGCTCTTCCATAAGTGAGGAACTGGCTTAAATAACCTAGAAAGCATCTGGGAGAAAAGCAAAACACCTGGGACTTCTACTCAGGCCCTAAGACAGACAGCCTGAGCTTAGTATCTTCTAGGAGAGGGGTCCCAGAACCTCTCCTGTTCCCTTGGGAGACATTTTGGGTTCCAGAGGTTTTTAAGAGCTGGGGTTTGAAGCTGAACTTCAGCCCAAGCTTCACCAGCTGTCCAATGGTCAGTGTTTGAGCCTGAGCTGAAGGTGGAGCTCACATGATCTTTCTTCTTTCTAGGCTTTCCCCCTTCCATTTTTTCCCCACCCTGCTTCATCAGTGGGTTCCCTTTTCCACCCCAGCCAGGGACTGACTTGTCATGGTCTTTTTCTCTTTCCTCTGCAGAGGATGGGATGGTGAGTGGGAGGAGCGACAGCACTGCACATGCAGACCCAGACATCAAGACCTGCCTGGAGGACATCTCCCAGCACCACAAGTCAACCAACATCCACCAGAACTCCCAAGAGAAAGGCCGAGAGGAGGTCCAGGGTCATCCTGGGAGGGAAACTCCAGGGACATGCAGGGAATTGCTGTTCCCCCATAGCTTTCACTCCAGGCATAGACCCATCCCTCATCCCACCAGTGAGAAGAGCTTCCATCCCCAGAGACGGGGGTCCCAGCACCCCTGCCCTGACTGTGGGAAAAGCTTCGGGGTCTTCTCCAACTTGCTCCGTCACCAGCGGAGCCATGGTGGGGACAAACCCTACAAATGCCCTGACTGCGGGAAGGGTTTTGGGCACAGCTCGGCGCTGGTGACGCACCGTCGCATCCATACGGGTGAGAAGCCCTACCAGTGTGCTGATTGCGGCAAAAGCTTCAACGTGGTTTCCAACTTGGTGCGCCACCGGCGGAGCCACACTGGGGAGAAGCCCTACAAATGCCCCGACTGTGGCCGGCGTTGCAGTCAGCGTTCCCACCTGGTGACCCACCGCCGGTTGCACACAGGGGAGCGCCCGTACCCATGCCGGGAGTGCGGGAAGAGCTTCAATGTCAGCTCTGATCTCATCAAACATCGCCGCACCCACACTGGGGAGAAGCCCTATGAGTGCTGCGACTGCGGGAAGCGTTTCAGCGGCAGTTCCAACCTCATCACCCACCAGCGGCTGCACAGTGGCGAGCGGCCTTACACCTGTGCCGACTGCGGCAAGGGCTTCACCATCAGCTCCAAGCTCATCGCCCACCAACGGACGCACAGTGGTGAGCGACCCTACAGCTGTGCTGACTGCGGCAAGGGCTTCAGCGACCGACCCCACCTCATCCAGCACCGCAGTGCCAGCTGGCGGGAGAAGCGCTACAAGTGCTCCGAGTGTGGCAAGGTCTTCACCACCAGCTCCTACCTCCTCACCCACCAGCGCAGCCACACTGGGGAGACGCCATTCCTCTGCAGCGTGTGCGGCAAGAGCTTCGCGGTGGTCTCCAACCTGGCGCGGCACCGGCGTGTGCACACTGGGGAGAAGCCGTTTCGGTGCGGGGAGTGCGGACGGCAGTACAGCCAACGGGCTCACCTCACCACCCACCAGCGGGTCCACACTGGCGAGCGACCCTATGTCTGTGAGGATTGTGGGAAAGGCTTCAATGTCAATTCGTCCCTCACCAAGCACCGGCGGGTGCACACTGGGGAGAAGCCCTACCACTGCCCCGACTGCGGGAAGAGCTTCAGCCAGAGCTCCAATGTCATCACGCACCGGCGGCTCCACCACGGCCACGGGGTGCACCAGCTCTGTGCATGAGTGGCTCCAGCTCCCGCACCATGCTGGTGAAGCCTAGTGATGCTAGCTCAGCCAGGAGGTCTTCTCCAGAGACTGGAAGTCAACCAGGACTTTGGTTATCTTGGCACATGCGGGAGAGAGAAGAAAGACCTGTGTATCGGGGGGTATGAAGGGAAGGATAGGAACCAAGCATGGCCACCATCAGCAGAAAACACCAACTCTGGGTGAGGTTCCTCCTGCTCTGCTTCCCTTCCAGCCAAATTAGTCCAGGGCATCTCCTGCTCTCACCCTGCCCAAACACAACAACAAAAAAAGGACCTTTGTTTTTCCTCGCTGCTCCAAACTCTCCCCACATCACAACATTTGATACAATGGGCCCAAGGGCTGTTTCATCTCCCATCTGGCATTCTCCTCTCCTCCAGTGATCTGCTAGTAGTGATACCAGCTTCAGGAATAAAAGGTGGTGTGATAAATACTAGTTGTGATCTCTGTACGCATATGGGTGTGCACCCACAGGGAGTAGAGACGCATGAGCCCCACAGCCCCCTTTTACTTCCAGGCTTGCACAGGAGGAAGTCCCCGGAGCCTCAGGGGCCCCAAAGGGGCTCCAGCAGCCAGCAAGTAGCAAGCCCAGGGGCCAGAGGCCACGAGGGTTGGTCTCCTCCTACCACTCCACATCACTTTGGATCCCGTGGTGGGGAATCCTGAGCTGGGAGGGTAAAAATGCCAGGGGAGGTCACTGATCCCTCCAGATGGGCCCAAAGTGTTGGCCTTGTTGGCTAAACTCAGGTACTCAGGTGTCCCAGAGCTGCACAGACACCTGGAGCTATTTGAGCTCTGGCCACGGCAAGGTAAGCAGCCATTTCACTGCCCTGCTGAGCTGCAGGCTGTCCTTGCAACCTTACCTACTCCTGTTTTAATGTTGGGGTTTTTTGCATTTGAGCTGTAAGGCCATTGGGCTTTGTCTGGAGAACATGGCTAGGGAGCTCCAGACAGCACCGGGCTTTGGTGTGGCAACCACCCATCTCCCACTTCGTTGAACATTGTAACACACCAAACCCATAAGCACAGACTTCCTCTACCGCAAATAATCAGTGGCAAACCCCACCATTTCTCCCTCCTACTCAGTACCAAGCCAAGATGAGTGTAACTTCAGGTATGGCTCAGAGACCATGGCCCTGTTTCCAACCACGGCAAACCTCCCCAGTGGATCGCCAACCTCCCTAGACATTTGGTGTGGTCTGAGATAAGGATGGCATCTCCCAATGGGGAGCAGTCTTTCCCTGCAGGTGCCAAGGTCTCAGCTCACAGCTGCATGGAGAGGGTCTTCAAAGAGGTCAAGATGGACTTTGGTGGTCTCCCACCAGCATCACGGGGGGCTGATTAATGTAGTCTTATATGGGCAGGATGCTGAAGATGCTCCCATCCAGGAGCTGCCCTCCAAATTACCTCCTGCAGGGTACAGGGCTACTGGTGGGATGCCAGGTTTTGTGGTCATCTTTACAGGAATGATATTTAATCAGGCAGGTGAGAAAGACTCTGAGTTTATTCTCTTTTTTTCTCCTCTTTTCTTCTTCTCCCAGGCATGCAATGAGGGGGACAAGGAAAGATATCCATGGTGAGAGGACAGGTCCTTGTTACTCAGTTCATGCAAGAGGATCTGCTGGGGATGGAGGAGGCAAAACACACTCCATCTTCACCTTTCATAACCTTATCCACAGCAGCCTGTAACTCCAAGGTACCGATGAAGGACCCCCGGCGTTGCCTCCTCTGGTGGAGGGCTTTACTGCTGCAAAAAATAAACTTGCTGCAAATTTGGGGGTAGGGGTGGGTGTACATGGGAGGCAGGAAAGATCAGGCTGTGGCAGGATTAATTCTTGAGGATGAGGAGGGTGAGGAAGGCTTTTGGCAGTGTCAGGATGGCCGAGTGGTCTAAGGCGCCAGACTCAAGTCATTGCTTTCCCTGCCCGGGGATTTCTGGTCTCCGAATGGAGGCGTGGGTTCAAATCCCACTTCTGACACACCTTTTCCTTCTAACAACTACAATTTTTAATATTATTTTAAAATAATTCCCCCATCACTCCTGCACCCGAGTTAAGGAAAACGCCGATTCTCTTCCCCCCACCCCCAACTACTCCTCCTTGGTCCTGTACCAAACTCTACTTGCAAACTGCGCCCACCCGTGGAGAAAAAAACACGAGGATGAGGAGGGAAAGGAGGTGGCAGCGGGGTGCATGCTGCTCCGTGGGTCTCTGGCCTGCAGGGGGAGGCGGGAGCAGCGCAGCCGCCCCCTCCTCGGGGTCTGTCGTGACGCGGACACGCGTGGGTTCGCGGCGGCAAAAAATTGTCATCACTTCTCCGGTGGTCAGTATTCGGCGCTCTCACCTCCGCTACACCGGTTCGATTCCCGGTCAGGGAAATTCCTTTCTCCCCCCGGCCCTTCAAAAAAAAAACCCCTTTTTTTTTTTTTTTTTTTTTTCCCTCTGATGATATCAATAATAGGCTTTTCCACAGCAAATTCAACCCTCGAAGCACACACACAGCGATGGCAAACACCACCTGTTAAGTCTAAAAGCCAGTTGGCACCCTTGCTGCACAGCATGTGGCCAGGCTGATCTTGGTTCTTTTTAAGAATCGCTGCTTTAGTTGTCATGGGTAACAACTTGATGAGGGATGGGTTTAGCAGAACTGGGATATCACCATCACTACCCTAGGGTAATTTAGACTGGTGGGACTTTTCCCCCTGCTCACAGCAATTCCCATTATCTGCTAGTAATTAAAGTCCATATATTCAAATATAACCATCTACTTGCAGCAAGGAGGCCATGAAAGCCTGTATTTTTCTAAGATAAAAGCCTCTTACAGATCCTCACCAATGAAACACTAAGCCACAGCCCGACCCCTCATCATCCTTTCCTGCAAAGGAAACCCCTGACACCAGCAAAAGCTGCTGCATTTGGGCTTTATTGCAATACCATGTTGACTATTTCATTCAACAAACTCCCCACTCCACCTGGTACATTGCTCAGTTCTTCCCTAACTGGTCGTCTTTCCACGCATCCAAACCTCAAGGGGAGGAGGATGTTTCCTCTAGTGCCTTTTTCTCAAGACCACGGTGGGCACATGCCTCCCCCCCCTTTGGCACCACGCGCTGCAGGGCGGCTTGCACATGCGCAGGGCTGATGAGAGGATCAGCAGCTCTCTCTCCGCAGCTGCTCAGCCTCGCTCAACCCCTGCTCATAGTTGTCCTCCATGAAGCTGATCGTGAGCCTCTTTGCCTGGTGGGAGACGAACCATCTGTCACGCCTGATCTTGTTGAGCATCTTGGTGTTGATGGTGTGGAAGAAGCGTTTTGAAGTCCTTTTCCTCTAACACTTCACCTGGCCCCAATGCTTCCTCTGCTTGGCCAGAGACCTCCTGGCATGGCTCTTCTGTCTTCTTCCATGCTGGGGTCCCCTTTCCTTCTGGGATCTCCTTCCCTGCTGGGTCCTCCTTCTCCCCCTAGCAGACGCCATGGCTCAGCCTTGTCCCTGCACTGCCCAGACCCCTCAGTGCTACAAACACCCCCACCTTCCCCGTTTTATGCAAGTAAGCATGCAAATGAGGGGCAGCTCTGAGCCCTACCATTGGCCAAGTGAACAATTTCCACCCCCAAATTCATAATGGGTAGAATCCTGGCCAGTGTGGGGCACTGGGATCCCTCTTGGCCAAGGCAACTAGGCGTCATGAGTGCCTGCAAGATTTGAAGACCTCCAGGACACCCCACCCCTCTGGCATGCTCACCCTCCCAGTGGAAATATTCCACCCAATCTAAAAAACTAGCATTTGTTTCTCAGAGTATCGCCCCAGTCTCAAAAGTTTTGTCTCAGAGTCGCACAACGCACAACTGAGCTGAGTACGTGCAACACGTGTCCTGGGAGTCCTCTGGGTGAGCAGGAAATGAATGACAAGAAAATCTTTTGAAAGAGCATCTTTCCTCAACAGAGGTGCCTGCACACCTTAGACCTGTGTCTTCCAGCTTGAAGACTCATCATAGCTAATTACTTAGTTAACAAGTCCACGCAGATACACCCTAGGTTTTTCCCTCCTCATGCTTTACATACATAGCTCATTTTTCAGATCCACATGTAAATGCTCATACACACACCTCCCATGTTTCTTTCAAGTTCCTCCATCCACTGTCAAAAACACAGTTGATGTCCCACACCAACATCTACCTGCTCTGATTCTGGATGACCAAACCCTGACTTTTTCTCTCCTCCCTTCATTAAGAAAAAACAACATTAAAACCAGAAGACAATTAGTTGGAAGAAATACCAAAAAAACCAACCCACAAAACCAGAAGGAATTATTTGGAATTGTCCCTTCTTCCCTCATGTGACACCAACTGATTCAATCTGGTTTTCATCCCTCCCACTGGCCTTCTGCAAGCTTCATGTTGTAATTGGTTTCAAGTGGAAACTCGGTTTCCAGTAATCTGCAGTGAAGCAGCAGACAGGAACATGGGAGGAACTCCTTTTGCAATTGGTGGTATGCATTGCTTATACTCAGACAATAAACCCTATAATTTGAGGTTGATCCTAGAGCAACTTGTTAGGACGTGCATTAATCTAGCTCTTATAAAAACAAGATGAAACAAACTGCTGTCACTCCAAAATCTCCAGCAGTCCTGGGAATATGTGTACATACTGGTTTCATCATATAATCCCCAAATCCCCCGAGAAGTATCATTGCTTCATATGAAGAGATAATACATATTGCTGGGTTTTCAGCATAGACACCCACAGGTATCAGGAAAACTACCTGGTAATCACAAGCTACTAAAAAATCAGACACAAAGCAAGGGGGTTTTTTTCAGAAAAGATAATGCCTTTGCCTTTTCCAAATGTTAAGCCTGAATCAAACCGGTCACCAGTGGCTTAAACAATTTGCAAGCACCATGCCCAAAAGACTAGAGTCACCCAGAGGGAACTTAATTTGTAACTTCCTGAGAGCATGACTTCATGGAAGGGGTAACACATGGGATGTCCATGCAATGCTTTCAGTCCTGACCTTGTCATGGTTCTGCAATCCACTCTTCCTGGGCATTATTTAAAACAGTAGACCGATGTAGCATCATGGGTGGGCACCACCACCTGATATTTCCAAAGGCTCATGTCCCTTTGTCACAACCCAGCCAGCACACTACCCTGCGTAGTGCGGGAGGTCGTGGAAAGCTCGAAATCCCTCAGAGTAGATTAAAGCGAAACACCACCAAACAACCAATCAAATTGTTTATTGAGCACAAACATAAACAAAACTGAAACAATCATGCGATAACTCAAGAAATTGCTGTCTGCCAAGCAAGTCACAAAATCAAAGGGAAAAGGGGAGGGGAGAAGTTTACTCGATTTTACCAAAATGATTCAACACGAAACTTAAATTCTATGGATGAACTATTCAGATGACTAACGTCATCAAACTATGTACACAAAGCAAGATAAATGTGGCAAGAAAGAGCAAAATAAGGTGCTAGCTGCCAAGAGAAAAGGAAGAACAAGGTAGAAAAAAGAGAGAAAGAGAGACAGAGGTAAAAGGTATCACCACCCTAGGATCCAGCGATCCTATAATAATACCAAAGCTGCACTGTCCTCTCAACCTTGCTGTCTGGATGGCTGGGGAAGACACCCGGACATCTAAAGACCAAACTTTTAATAGCACAAGGGAATGAGTTTGCTTCTGCTTTGGTGCACATAGCTCTGGGCCCCAACACAAGGAGAACAGAAAACATTGCAGTAAAAAAAAAAAGGGGGGGGGGGGGCAGTGGTGGGGTAGGGAGGATTTCAGTAAGAAAATAGTATTAAGAAGAGCCAATCACTAGGGAGGTTTGCAAAACCATTTCCGGCAAAACGCTTTTCAGGGGAAGCCCCTTCTGTGACACTGGTATCTACCTTGAATGCTGACTGGTGATCTCAGCACCAGAAGTCTGGGAAGTATTGAGTTTCATTTCCTCAACCAAATCAGCACATAGTCTGATTAACTGAATGTCATGGTTTAACCACAGCCAGCAACTCAGCACCACACAGCCGCTCACTCACTACCCCGCCCCAGGGGGATGGGGGAGAGAATCAGGGGAAAAAAAAAAGTAAAGCTCATGATAAGAACAGTTTAATAGGACAGAAAGGAAGAAAATAATAACAATAATGAAATGACAATAATAATAATAAAAGAATTGGAATATACAAAACAAGTGATGCACAATGCAATTGCTCACCGCTAGCCAACCGATGCCCAGTTAGCTCCTGAGCAGTGATCCCCCTGGGTCAACTCCCCCCAGTTTACATACTGGGCATGACTTCACACGCATGGAATATCCCTTTGGCCAGTTTGGGTCAGCTGTCCTGGCTGTGTCCCCTCCCAACTCCTTGTGCCCCTCCAGCCTTCTTGCTGGCTGGGCAGGAGAAGCTGAAAAATCCTTGTCTTGGTCTAAACATTACTCAGCAACAACAGAAAACGTCAGTGCGTTATCAACATTCTTCTCAGACTGAACCCAAAACATAGCACTATACCAGCTACTAGGATGAAAATTAATTCTATCCCAGCCGAAGCTAGGACACTGAAAAATACAGTCTTTAAGCATAAGGCAAAGGATAAAGGCATGAGAAAGTTTGGAGGGGAAGGGTAGTTTGTGGTGGGTTTATTTAATTATTTATTTTAGGAACAGACCAGCCAAGGTGCCTACACAGAGTAGAGTATGTCCATATGGTGGGTAAGATGTGGTCAACCAGTGAAGGGATGGTTCATGGTGCTTTGGTAGGTCAAAGTTCTCCATTGTGGGAAAATGCTGGTACAAATCACGGAGTTTTTGCCATTTCAGTGAGGGCATCTGAGCTCTGAGTTTCCTCTACAATAATGAAGACAGTATCAAACCAAAATTGCGCAACACTTAACACAAAAGTGTCCCATAGATGAACTGTTGTCTGGAAATACCCGTTTCCATCGCTAGAAAGGATATTTTGGATGCTAGCTCAGAGGTCTCCCTGGGATGCAGAATAAAACCTGTGATATTTAGATAGATTTAAATGGATGCCCCTTTGTGCAGTACAAGGGAAAAAAAAACCCAAACCCAAACCTGATATTTCACTGCTGTGAAGCTCTCTGCCCTTCACAGGGAAGGGTGCGGTCACTCTTGACTTTTCTGATAATCTTAACACTCCCGGAAACATGCCATAGACTGATGGCTCATGTCCAAAGCTGGTAAGACCAGTGAGTAAAAAGAAAAACACAAATCCAAACTACAGCAGAGGAACAAACCACATGTTCAATTGCTGGTTCACCTTCTTCCTTCTTATGACAAATCAGACTTGGCCCTCTTCCAGGGTGTACTGATTGGGGGGACTTTTTTCAAACTACCAGAGCTAGGTTGGTTTTTTTTAAGCCAGGGTATAAAATGAAATCATATCTCAGCAGAGGACTTGTCTTCCTACTGGAACAATGTCTAGGATCGGTGAGTGACTCTCGAGCTCTTCTCGCTGTTTTTTTCTGGTTTTCTTTCATCTTCAGTGCTTGGGTTTTTGGAGGGGTTTTTCTTCCACCTGGTAAAACATCTGCCTTTTGTGTCACCTCCTGACAGCATAACCACAAACCTCCCTTTCTTCAGCTAAGGTATTTCACGATCACCTGGAGCTCAACTTTGCAGCACTGTGGGCAGTGGGAGAACTCCCTTGCAAGTCTGGGGAGTGAGGTGTTCCTAGTTGTGCAGGGAGAGATGGAAACATAGGCACAAGCTCAGAATCTCCAGGCACCTTCCTGGAGGACACCTCCTCCTCACACCAGGTTTGTGGTTTTACCACATCTACCCACAACACAGGAAGGTCAGATGGAAGATGGAGATCCATCAGACTTTTCCAAGAGCTGGTCCCAATGTATTTGCTCTCCTCCCACAGAAAGCCTGATCTCTGAAAAGGATCTCCTTTGTCTTCCATAAGGTCCTTAGGTCTTTGGGGTTGCCACACTGGGTGAGATGAGGACAGCAAGACTGGCTGGTGGCTCTACACCACTATGAACCACACACACACACACTAAAAACACAACTCAAGGCAGCATCCCTGGTCCTCAAGGAAGATCAGGGCAGCAGCAGTGTCAGGTCAGGAAGGTTGATGCAGCTTTATCAACACAATATCACTTTCTGCCATGCTTGAAAGAAGGCAACAGGCTAATTGTAGCAGATTCTTTCCAATTTTTTTTTTTTTTTTTACTGCCACAGTCAGTGTCTTCAGGAAGCTGGATCAGCTCTACAAGCTGTAGAAAGACCTGCTTTCAGGAGCTGGACTTAGGTCTCTCAGAAAACCACCTGTAGGATAACAGCTCTGAGGTTTATATAGGACAAGAGGAAATGGCCTCAAGTTGCATCAGGGGAGGTTTAGATTGGATATTAGGAAAAATTTCTTCAATGAAAGGGTTGTCAGGCATGGGAACAGGCTGCCCAGGGAAGTGGTTGAGTCACCATCCCTGGAGGTATTCAAAAAACGCGTAGACTTGGCACTTCTGGACGTGGTTTAGTGGGCATGGTGGTGTTGGGTTGACGGTTGGACTTGATGATCTTAAAGGTCTTTTCCAAACTTAATGATTTGATTTATTCACAGCAGGGGCACTTCAACCCAGGTTGTCTGCAGATCTGGGGCTGTTCCCACAAAAGTAGTGATTCCCCAGGGTTTTCCAAGGAATAAGAATGACCCAGGGTGTGGTTTCAAAAGCTTTTTTTTTATTGCTCCCTGGAAGAAAACTGGCAGTATTTGGGGGAAGGAAAAGAAAATTAAGCTTATTCTGTAGTTAGTTTGGAGAACAGAAACCAAAACTAGAAAAATCCCAAGGTGGTTTCTGTTCAAACTTCCTTTCCCTGTGAAAACATTATTGTAATGTTGTTGTGTCTGTTCTGGTAGAAATGGTTATTCTGAATGGCTGCACTCTGCCTGCTGTTCCCTATAGGTATCTCTGTTCCCTGTAGGGTATCTCAGAAACTAAATAATTTTAAATAAACAGAGAAGTCCCATCACCTATCTTCATCTATCTAATCTGTCCATTTTTCTATGTAATGTTTTCATCTATTCTGCCCATCTATGCAATAGTGCCCATCTAGTCTATCCATCTTTCTATATAATAGCCTCCTCCCTCTACCCTTCTACCCACTGCATCAAAAATGCCCTGAATTACTAAGGTATAGGAAAGGGCAGTTGGGACAACAAGATTGCCTTGATTCTTTGCATATGAACAACATTAATTACCAGTCTTCATTATGGAGTCTTTTGAGCTATTCAAAGTGGTCAAACTCATTTGGGGAACTCGCCACAGCAGCTGCAAAAGCAGACTGTGAATGTGAAAATAATCATCTATGGGCTTGATGTCTCCTTAAAAAAAGAAAAAAAAATCACATTCACTGACACCACTTGACATCTATCTGCAGTCACAAAAGATATGCTGATGCCATGGATTTCATAATTATGCCAGTTGATTTGAAAACAGATTTGCTAGATGTTCCTCTTTGGACACCAACATACTCAGAGACAGTTTGTGCTGTCACCTCCCTCCTGGGCTGTCAGGAATGAACTTGCATGCTGATTGCCAAGTGCCTTCATTGTATTATTTTCTTCTTTTTTCTCTCCCTAGTCCTCTTCCAAATACTCCTGCTAGTAGGTCTCCTAAATGCAAAGAGGTTTCAGTCTTTCCCTGAATATTGCCTTCATGACAAAGACTACGAGGAACTGCTGAAGATTGTCAAAGATGGGCTAGAACCTGCAACTCATCCAGCAAACGTGGTCATTGTCGGTGCAGGAATAAGCGGGCTTACAGCAGCAAAGTTGCTCCGAGATGCTGGCCACAGGGTAAGTAGCTGCATGGGAGCCATGAGTGCCATTGGGTCTTGTTTTTCTACACTAAGGATTTTTCAGCCTGGAGAGGGAAAAGGAGATCCAAGGGAGTGGGCCATAGTGATGGGAGAAGGAAGGAAAAGCAATTGGGCCCCAGTAATTTAATCTGATTTAGGCTTGATTTTCAAAACCACAGGCAGCGACAGGGGAGGATAATGGGAAGTTGTACACAAAGCAACTCATTTAGATGCTCCCCAAATGAATGCAAGCAGCAAAAGTAAAAAGAGGCAGCCTTCTTTCTCTGTCCCTGAGGGTTTTTGAGGTCAGGAAGAGCTACAGCTGCCCTGGGACAGCCTTGGAGACAGTGCTGCTGCAAGTGGGAGGTTGGACTAGAACCCTCTTGAGGCACCTCCACCCTCAACTTCTACAGTTCTTCAACCTGTTGCAACTTGCAGCCCAACAGTGACATTTGTTGCTGTAGATCAACCAGCACAAGACTCGCGAGCCCTTCAAATCCAGCCTTGTTTAGGTGGCAAGTAGTCTGGGGGTTTCAAAACTGTGTTGACCATCCCAAGGTGCTAGACAAAATTCAAATCCATGAGTTGCAAAGAAGGTTTCAAAGGCATGGAGGGACAGGTTGGTGCCTTCCTCTGGCTGTTTTCAAAACCTTGTTTTACACTTCCAGCGCAGAGAGCATCTGAACCAACACTTGGACCCTGTCATCCGAGAGTAGGTGCCCAAACATGACACAGAAGTTAGGAACTGTGTCCTGGTTTCAGCTGGGATGTAGTTAACTGTCTTCCTAGTAGCTGGTACAGTGCTATGTTTTGAGTTCAGTATCTGAAGAATGTTGATAACACTGATGTTTTCAGTTGTTGCTCAGTAGTGTTTAGACTAGAGTCAAGGATTTTTCAGCTTCTCATGCCCAGCCAGGGCACCTGACCCAAACTGGCCAACAGTGTATTCCATACCATGGGACATCCCATCTAGTTTAGGAACTGGGAAGAGGGGGGCAGGGAATCGCCGCTCAGGGACTGGCTGGGTGTCGGTTGGCAGGTGGTGAGCAATTGCCCTGCGCATCATTTGTACATTTCAATCCTTTTATTACTACTGCTGTCATTTTATTAGTGTTATCATTATTAATTTCTTCTTTTCTGTTCTATTAAATCGTTCTTATCTCAACCCAGGAGTTTTACTTCTTTTCTTTTCTCCCCCATCCCACTGGATGGGGGGGGGAATGAGTGAGCGGCTGCGTGGTGCTTAGTTGCTGGCTGGGGTTAAACCACGACAAACTGAGAAACTGCCTTGTAGGTAGAGGGATTGTGGCCAACATAGAGAAGGGTTTGGATCTACAGATGGTTTGTTTGCCACCTGGAGGGGACCTGTGCCACCCCATGGCCATAAATGCTGACTGCCAAAGTGCCTGTGAACTTGCTTTGTAGGTGGTTTGCTTAAAATACTCATTGCCTGAACATCTGCAAACTTCACCACGTCCCTGTTTTTAGGTTACTGTTCTGGAAATGAGCAATCAGGTTGGTGGACGGATCAGGACATACCGACCAGAGGGGCAGGACTGGTATGTGGAGCTGGGAGCCATGCGCCTGCCAGGCAAGCACAGGTAAGGCAGTGTCCTACTTCATAGCCCTGATCAGATGAGGAACCAGCCTGTCTTGAGGAGCAAGGCTGTGCTTTGAGAAGGGGCTGAGGGCTTGGATGTGGGTGTAGCACAGAAGGAGGAAGGAGCTGGCTGCCCCATCTCTCCCCCAGAGCTTAGCATCTGCTTAAAAGGGACAAAAAAACCCAGATGATCACTTGCATTTGAGTTGGGAGAATGAAAGAAGACCTCTCATCTCAGTATCATGCCCATGCATAGTCAGACCTCTGGTTTGGAAGTCACAACATCAGAAGATGGGTGAATTTCCATTGGGTCTGATGGAGAGGGCACCCAGCCTGGGTTCTCCAAGAGGGTTCAATCAAACAAGGTTCAGCCATTAGCCAAAATGCTGTGGGAAGAGGCTGTAGGTGAGTCACCAACTACACAACGTGCCAAGGAGAAAGGTTGGAGCCGTGGGGAACCCTGGCCTCCTACTTCAGCAGGGCATTGCTCTTACTCTTGATTACATCTTTCTGCAACCTGTAGCTGGAAAAATACATAAGCCAAAGGGCACCTTTCTCCATAGCCACATGGTTGCTGCGCTGAGCTGGGAGCAGGCAGAACAATGTCAAGCAATAAAAACTAGAGATGGCAGTGCCTTAAATAGCCACAGCCTCCACTCACAAGCCAAAATGATACATGGCTACACCAACATAGTCGATGGGAAAGCATGCTTTTATGCTTCTAATGTTTTGGCGGCAGGGTTTTTGGGTTTGGTTGTTTGCAAGCACTTGTCCCCATGTGCTCTTCTCTTTTCTAGGCTCGTCCGTGAATTCATTAGGCAGTTTGACCTGAAGCTAAACCCATTCATCCAGACAGACGACAACACCTGGTACTTTGTGAACGGCACTCGGATAAGAGCTGAGGAAGTTAATAGAAACCCCAAGATCCTAAACTATACAGTGGAACCATCAGAGAGAGGCAAGAGTGCCAGCCAGCTTTATAGAGAAGCACTAAATAAGGTACGTGCCCATGGGGAAGGGATGCTACCCTACAGCGATGTTGATCATCCAAGAGACATTGAAGCTATTTCCTCTGAGCTGTGGTGGACCCTCACCTGCATGATGGCCTAAGGAAGGCTCAATGATCAGTTGAGGAAGAGTAGGGTCCTTTCAGAATGAAAAGCAGAAAGGCTTATTCAGAAATGAGGGCTGCTGATTGCAAAACCCTCTTTATACACAAGGCTTCCTTTCTCTGGAACAGATTCACCAAGACTTGGATGAAGCAGAAAATGCCACACCAAGGCATAACTTCCCCAAACTTGAAGTCCAAGCAGCAAGAACCAGTAGCTCTAGTTCATCTCCAGGGGTTACCAAACCCCAAGACTGAATACCCCAGATGAATCCTAACAGAATTTGGGGCAACACTTTGGGAAATGTGCCTTTTCTCATGAATATATCAATGTTTCCTCTCCAGGCTTTCAAGGATTTCCAGACTGCAGACTGCAAGAAGTATCTAGCTAAATATGACTCCTTCTCCACCAAGGTAAAGGGCTGGGGCTTGAGAGTAAATTTAATCCCCCCTGCTGATTATTAACCTGCCATCCCTGCTTTGAGAAAGGATCTGAATCACTCTAGTTTCTTCCCCTGTCAACACTTCTGGATGCCTTTTCCCTAATCAATGCTGCCTTCTACTTAAAATGCTGAGAAAGGAGCAAGCATGACTCCTCTGATGCAGGAGTTTGAGCAGTCTCATCGTTTCGAAGTAAATGAGAAGCCAGGGCTGTTGGAAATGCTCCAGAAATTTATCCAGATTAGCTGTGTTCCTCCATCAAGCACTGGGGAGGATTTACTGAGCAATCCACTACATTTTCATGTGATCCAGCTTCTCAGAGTGGGTCCATCAAGCCACAGATCCCTTATTCATTCATGTCCAGAACTTCTGTTGTGCTAAACTGGAGGAAATGTTGATCTCCTGCAAGAAGCTAGAGCTGCATAAAAAAAAAAAAGCTTCTGGTCCAGCCTTTAAGCAGATCAGGAGCAGGAACAAGACAGCAGGGCATGAGTTTTGGCTTGGGATATAAAGGGGATACATGCACTAACTGAGATAATAACATCAGGCTATGTCTTCTTCCTGGCTTTTCAAGGAGTATTTGATTAAAGTAGGAAATCTAAGCCGAGGAGCAGTTCAGATGATTGGTGACTTGTTGAACGAGGACTCTGGATTTTATCTCTCCTTCCTTGCCTCACTGTGGGATTTCGATATCTTCTCTAGTGACAGGTAAGATGATGGCTCTTATGGCTAACCCCATTTTGTGTTGGTCCACAGCAATCCACCAGAAGAGGAAATTTCAGTGGTATTTAGATGTCTGAATGGGAATCCCTTCCAACTCAAAGGGCCACCAAGCTCTGTTAGCATCTCCCAGAGAGGTCAGGTTTTACAGTTCCTAAACCCCAATGTGCTTCCTTCACCTCCTGCTTCTTCTTCCTTTCAGTTTTGATGAAATCACAGGGGGATTTGACCAACTGCCCAAAGCCTTCCATGAAGCATTGCCCAATGTCATTCAGTTCAATTGCACAGTGGAGAAAATCATGACCAAGGGAAACAAAGTCCGTGTGTTTTACCGTGCTCCAGACACTCTGGCCCCAACCATAGTAACTGCAGATTACGTCCTTGTCACATCCACTGCCAAAGCCACCAGGCACATCCAGTTCCTGCCACCACTCTCTTCTGCAAAGACCCACGCCCTGCGCTCCATCCACTATGCAAGCTCCTCCAAAATAGCCTTGGCTTGCACTGAGAAGTTCTGGCAGAAGGACGGCATCCGAGGAGGGCAGTCTATCACCGACCGCCCTTCCCGCTTTATCTACTACCCCAGCCACAACTTCTCCAGTGGCTTGGGCGTGATCCTGGCTTCCTACACCTGGAACGATGATGCTGAGTTTTTCCTGCCTCTCACAGATGAGAAGTACCTGGATGTGGTCCTCCAAGACCTGTCAGATATCCACCAAGTGAGCAAGGAGTACCTGCAGTACACCTGTGACCAGTATGTGATACAGAAGTGGCAGCTGGACAAACACTCCCTGGGGGCATTTGCTGCCTTCACCCCTTACCAGTTTGTTGACTACTCTCAGGCTCTCTTCAAGCACGAGGGCAGGGTGCATTTTGCAGGAGAACATGCAGCTCAGCCACATGCCTGGATTGACACCGCCATGAAATCAGCTGTCAGGGCTGCGAGCAACATCCATCACGACAGCCGTGAAGCCCCAATGCTGAACAAGGAGGGGGAGCGGGAGCAGCCGGGGAGTCTCTTGCAGAAGGAAGATCTCTGAGCAGGGCTCCTGGGCTGAGCTTGCTGGATGCCACCAGCATGGTTTGAAGGCACTTCTGGTGGTATAAATCTGTTTCTTTCCAGGCAAAGTCAGCAGAAGGACCTCAGTAGCTAAGGCATTAAAGAAAACACTGAAAGAGCACTGACTGTCATCAGACAGGACTAATAGCTACCTGATTAAACACTTCATGAGGATAGGAGGGAGTAAACAAAGTAACTTCTAAGTAGGTTTCACAACTCTAATATTACCCTGGCTCAGAAACACTGCAGCAATTTCTGATTTATTAATGTACAAAGTAATTTGGGAAATGACTAAGATGGAATAAAGTTAGGTATTTCTCCGTTCCTTGTGTCTGAGGTGTCTCCGTGTCTCTGCAGAGAGAAGTGTCACCATGTATATATCATCTCGCCTCACTTCAGCCATTTAGAAACTCATGACCTGTCAGCTGGGTCTTCCTCCCCTTCCAGAACTTGAGATAACTCATTGCTTCCAAGTCATCCTCTCCTTTGCATAGTCCAACACAACCACTCCTAACCTCCACAGGTACCAGTCAGGATGCAATCCTGATTCCCTAACCTCTGTGGTCTCCTTTACCCATCTCCCATCTAATTGAGCTCAAAGCCAACACCAAGTTAGAGATAGATTTAACATAATGAATATAAGAAGCAAACCCAGAAGCAATATAACCTGTGCACAAAGACATTTATGGCTTTTACTGGACTTTCTCCTCTCACCAGTAACTGTTGTCCCAAATTTCATAGTCTTGGAAACTCAATCTATGCTGCAGGTGTCTTTTCAGATTATTGGAAGGATATTGATAAATAAGCAAAAGGAAAAGCAAGACCGGGTGCTATGTACATCAGGCCAGACTTTGCTGCAGCCACTTAGCTGCTTTGCATACAATTAATCTCTCTCCCCATAAAACACAAACCTGCTTCTCAACCTCTGACTCCACATAGCTGGAGGGGAATGGCTCATGGTCTTCTGCAGCCCAAGAAACAGAGGTTCAGCCCTTACTAGAGGGAGCAGGGACAGAACTGGTGGAGACCATTACATACAGGGAAGGACTGGACCTAATTACACCCAGCAGATTTCCACCAGTCATTGCAGAGGCAAAGACTTGCACTAGCTTAAAGCATTTAAACACAGGTGATAATTTAATAAGTACAGCGCAATCAACATTAGCATTTTGAGAGCTTGACCAGGTGGTTCCTTGCAATGAGCTCAAATCACTTTTAGGGAGGCACAGCCACTCTCAGTGATGCTTTAAAATGCAAGATTTCATCAGTAATCATCAGGTTTCCTTCATCTGCTCAAGAATTGTAACAAATATACATGCTGTATGGTAATAAGCAGCACAGTGACCTGGGACACAAGCCTGCTCTTTTGGTCTGATGCAAGACCACACATGTAACCTCAAATCAGGGCAAGTGAGGGGTTGCATCGCAGCAGAAAATTGATCAAAAAGGCCACAAGCACCTTCTTAAACTTAGAACAGAGCTGGTCTCAATGCACAGCATCAGCTGCATTAGGAAAAGTATACTGTAAAACTTGAAGCATTGCAAAAAAGAGAAAATAGAAGGATTTTACCCACTTGCTTTATCATACCACCTCTGACTTTGGTTTTCATGTTTTATAACTACACATCATTCCCAGCCTTTGCAGAACATTTAGCTCCCTTTCCCCAAACAAATTGTTTTAGCAACACAAATGCTTTCTTTAGCCT